CGTAGTCTTTTCAATCCTTAGGGCCTGTAATGGTCTTAATTTAGACCTGTTTATGTGAATATTTTTCTTAAAGCAAATAACCTTTTCTAGTTTATGTAATCATTCTCGATTTGTGTTTTTGGAGGGTAAATCTGATTGAAAAAATAAAGTACTGACTTCACGTAAAGCAAGCACCAGCTTTGTTTTGCTGGACTTGAAGAAATATAAGACTGTCAGCCTCAGCTCGTAGCAGAATGGCTTTTTGAGCAGTTAACATACAGTTGAATTCTGTCTCAGTCAGACTAGGTTCATTTAAGGTCTATCCACCACAACACGATTGTACATGTTTCATAAATGTTTTTATTGAGTGGTAGCTGTGTTCTATTAGGGTGCTTTCTGGCAAAACACTTTGAAGAGTGTGCAGGGATGTTACCTCTGGATAAATCAGTAAGTTTTCATTTTTTCTCATGATGCTTTTTCTTTCCTCGTATGCCTTCTTAAATTTAAGATTCCTTAAAAAAATACATGGTTTTTTTGTTTTTGCATGTAGAAAAAAAAAACAGTTAACTTATTATCAGTGGTGCTCAACCTGGAATTTTCATTTGTTAAGCTTTTAAAATATTAACATGCCTGGACCCCTACACCAAAACTATTGAATCAGAATCTCCTCATGTATAGAATCCTCCCAACTGACTGTCATGCATATCCATGGCTATGAATCTCTGGGTTCTTGGTCAGTGTTCTCTGAAGTCTGGTTGGTCCGCAGAACAGCAGCATCAGCATCCTCTGGGTACTTGTAAGAATTCCTGGGTCTCATCCCAGACTTATTGAATCAAACACTGGAGTGGGGCCCAGCAGTCTGTGTTTTAACAAATACTCCAGGTGATTCAAATGCTTGGGAAAGTGTGAGAGTTGCTCCTTCGATCATCTCAAAGGAGATGATCCTCAAAGGTCTTCTCCAAAATTTCACAAATCCCTGTCGTGGTTGCAGAAAGCTTCCAGGACAGTGGACTTTGCTACCCATCATTCAACATTTTATCCTTCTCTATCCACCTCTGTTGCTTTAAACTTTCTACTTTAACAGTCTCGTTGAATAGTGTGTCTTCTACTGTAAACCTCCTCAAATGCTTAGTGGATGAGACAGCATGTTAATAATAAATGTTGAATAAAAAGACTTTTTCTTTTGTATTGTTTTTTACTCTTCGTCAATTTTCTAATGGTTAGCAACTGTGGAATAATTAACTTTGTTTATGGTTAGGAAGCTAGAAGAAGGCTGCCTGCAGGCTTGGTTCTGGCATTGGCATGATGCTTGAGACAGATGAGTCAAGTTTAGCATTGGATAGTTGGAGAGATGTGACCACCATCCTTTCTTGCTATCCTAATTAATGTCACTCTTAGCAAACAGCTCTGGCAGAACAGCTCTTTTAAGTCCAGTGCAACATGTACTGGTCAGGCTGGATGGGAAACTGCAGCTCTCCCCGCTTACTGTAAGGGAACCTTTTTCTTGGCTCCCAAATGGTTTCCAGAGCTATCAAAAAAAAATACCGTTTGCAGACACTTTTCATAGCTGAAAAGAGCAACTTGGAGAGGAAAAGGAGTATTCTCTGGACCGCAGGAGGAATGTTTTGCAGCTGGGCATTGCACATAAATGCTAACTGAATACCCTTTCAGTTGTGTAACTCACTGTCGTGGCTCACAGTGGAAGAGCCACTCAACAGAAATGAAGAGTGCCTCACACCTGCGTGTGTACTTGTAAACCAACTCTTCTTTATGGGCCGCAAACAGCAATGTGTAGGACATTGTACTGCAAACCCCAAGTAAATCTTGCAGTGGTAAAGGATTGGTAGGCCGCCTGCTGCTCATTAGGGATCCTGTCTGGCTCTTTTCCTGCAGAATGAGTGGTAGATTGCTGACACCTGTTTTCCCATCCAGCCTGAGGATGTGAAGTGTGCATTAGGAATGCCTGAAAGTGCTTCCTTGTGTCTGAGTCTGGATCTTGGTGTTGTTTGGAGAGGAGGGGCTGTGGGTTCAGTGCTGGGAGGAGAGATGAAAAAAATCAGTGGTGAGAAACTACAAGATAAAACTGAGATTTCATCCTCATTTAGTGGCTTCTGATTGTGCCCTTAGTTTGTCCACGTAGCCCTGATAAACTTGGTCACTTATTGAGCGTAGAGAGATGTGTCTTGTACATATTTCTCAGATTACGTGAGCATGTAGTTGAGACTCTCAACACATTAGAAATGAGATAGAAATAACCTGCTCTTACAACCCAGTTCATCAACATGATGAAGTTATTTTAAAATATTTTTGGCCTTAAATATATAAAATTCAAGTGTATTGATAGTATAATCAATTTCTTGCACAATTCTGTCCATGTGTTTGCTCTTCCCATCTTTACCTACCATAAAGTCTCAAAAACTGGCAAATGTTGAAACACAGGGCCTAATGTGCTGCCTTCAGTCACAGATATGGACTGCTTGCTGTATGCAGTGATTATGCTAAGTACAAGGGGACAACAAGAAGCACAGAAAACAACCCCCTGCCACTACCACCAACTCCTGCTTTTTCAAGTGCTGGTACTCTACTGGAGAGAAAAGACATCAGAGGTAGCATAATACTGCAATATATTTGATAAGCATAGAGATGATCCATATTTTCGGTGAGGTTGGAGAGAGAAGAGAACTGTGAGTTAGTTGGCCAGGTCAAGGAGGCACTTGTTCTGGATATTAAAGGGTGAGGAGAATTCACTGAGAGTGAGAGAGTGAGATGAGTATAAGATGCACTTTCCCTGCATCAGCAGGCTGTGGAATTAGAGAGAGAGAGAGCGAGAACGAGAGTGAGAGCGAGCGAGCGAGCGAGAGAGAGAGAGAGAGAGAGAGAGAGTGTGTGTGTGTGTGTGTGTGTGTGTGTGTGTGTGTTTTAAAGTAATGGCACCATTTTCCCCTGACTCATTTGTGGGACTTGGCCAGGTCTTCTTGTGAACATTGGCCTTCGTTTGTGAACTGTGGATGAATGGGGTTAGGGTTGGGTCATGGCCTTGGACCAGAGTGAAATTAACTGGCTCATAATGTGATTGAACTAATGACCTTGGGCTCATTACCACTATGTTTTAACCAGTTCAGTCAATCAAACTGCAGAAAGAGTAATCAAGGTATCTTTCAGAAAGAGATCTGAATACCAGTAAACATAGGAGTGAAAACAAAGCCAGGTTCTTTCTTCATATAACGCCCAGGTGTTCATCTCTTCATCTTTGTTTGTATTCTTGTTTCTGCATCTAGGAAAAATATGGTGGACAGAATGAAAAGGGCGCCCTGACTCTCCTATGTTAGTGTTTTTGATATAATGTAATGTATAGTCATTTTTCTTGTGCAGCATCAGGCTGTTTTTCTAGAGGAAAATATTTTTAAGCAAAACTATTGTTTTTAATTTTAGATATGTAGTGTTCCATAAATTTATTGATTATGCCTTTCTCTTCTTTAAAGTCTGAACAACCCAGTCCTGCCAGTTCCAGCTCCAGCTCCAGCTCCAGCTTCACACCGTCCCAGACCAGGCAACAAGGTATCAACATCTCCCAGGCAAATTATGAGGCATTTTTCTCATAAAACATCTTGATGAGTTGATATATGGCCTATTTTCCACTGTTTTATTATTTGAGTGATAACTTGGCTTTTATGCAGTTGTATTTATTTCCCCTAGGAATACACTTGAGTATTGTTCTGATGTATGAGCCCAGCCTCTAGAAATTCCCCTTTTTCTAGTCCCTGCCATCAGAGTTGCATTTTACAAAAGGATTACAGACACAGCCCATTCCAGGGAGTTCCCAAAGGAAATACAATAGCAAAAGCTGGACTTGAGAGGCTTTGACATAGAGAAATAGGTTTTCACTCTTCTTCCTGGACATCTTTCATTTTATTTATTTTTCTACAGATTAATAGACCTTTTTCATTGGCAAGTGTTAATTTGCTGTCTTTAAAATATATATATTTTGCTACTCAAACTCAAATTTAAATTTAAAGAAATTTTAAAAAGAAATTTAAACCAGAACATTAACTAAATATATTTTCCACTTCTTTTGTGTGTAGAAAACCTTCAAATGTTGGCTGTTTTGAAAAAAAAAAAAAAGAAACATGGAAAGTGAAATAATATCAAGGAATAATTTGTTTTCGAGCATCATGTTGCACATTACTTTCTTCATTGACCACACTGAATTCTTGATGGCCTTGTATGTTTTGAAAAGGATTAAGTTGCTCTGTGTGTTTGGGCTAAGGCTAAGCCTCTAGGAAAAAATAAAAGACACTGATCGTTTGGACTATTCAGATTTTTTGTTCCACTGACTTCCAAAAGTATAAGCCTATGACAAAAGCAGAGAAATTTGGGTTTTAAAGAATGTGAGATAGCAGAGGCAGTACTTATTTTAAAACTGATTTAATGATAGCTCAGATATTCCTATTAGATTAGAGTTTAGGAATTGTCTAATCCAGAATGAAAGTGCCTCTCTCTCATTTTCCTGATTGCCTTTACAATCTCTTCTGTTAATATTAAAAGTATCTATCTTGTTTTCATTACATCTAAGAGTAGTAAAGTGAAAATAAGCCACACTGATGAGTTTTTTTGTTTTTGTTTTTTTTTTCCAGTTTTGCCCTATTCTACAATAAATTAGTTATGACTTGATTTTTTTCTCTTCCATCTAATACTGGATACTCCCTCGAATTTTCTGGGCACCTGATTTATTGCATGGTCTTATTTATGGAAATACATGTTGGTATTTTGCCAAGAACTTCTTAAAAAGTAAAATAAAAATTGGCTACATAAAATTGTTGCAACAAGACCTTGTGTCCAAGATCAATATGAAGATCAGAGATAAGACGTTACACCGTGGAATTGAAATACTTTATAATCTGAACTTGACTGAAATGCTTGCTTGACCTGAAATTGACCTTGAAATAAAAGGAACAGCTAAACCTTAATAGATCAAAAACTACCACACAAAGGCTGCATTGCCAAGAACAAGTTACAACCATGGTGATTTATTAGTCTCAACTTTTCAATACATGGATTAACCTAACAAAACATTCAATTTACTAATAGATCTTTCTGTTTCTTTTTAGGGGTAATTTTTCTTGGGGAAGAAAAATACATAGAAAAGAATTCTTAGGAAATAGTTTTTCTAATAAACATTTTGAGGCTTCTCTTATTAAAACAATAGTGTTTTAGCAGAGGTTGCATTCCAGAAACAACCAAATTTGTCTTATAAATCGTATGCATAAACAAACAAACAAACAAACAAACAAACAAATAAATATATATATGATGTATATGATAATGGTTATTTTGAACCAATGTTCAGTGCTAGTGAGCATTCTCTTGTGTCTAATATGGCTAAGTGTGTTTGCAATAGTATGTGTTATTGCCTGTGCTTCACTGTCATTACTCAGGTCCTTTAAGGTCTATAATGAAAGATCTGCATTCCGATGACAACGAGGAGGAATCAGATGAGGCAGAGGATAATGACAATGACTCCGAAATGGAGAGACCTGTAAATAGAGGAGGCAGCCGAAGTCGCAGGTGAGTGTCTTGGAAGGGAAGAAGTTCCCTGTGATAGAATCATACCTTTTCACTAGACCTAATAGTGTAACCACAGCCAAGGTATGAAACACCAAAAACAATGGCAGTAAATGGTCACATTTATCTTAAGTTGGGGCACCTTGGCATGCTTATACTTATCTTTACAGAGAATTATTTATCCTTTTTCTCAGAAAAGAGAGGTTTTTCCTCCAAAAATTTTATAGGGAAAAAGTCCTATTAAAAGTCCTTGTTCTTGAAAGTATATGCCAAGGTAGCAGGCCTGACTGCTGAAATAAATTCTGTTTTCATCTGAAGCGTTTGTGTAGGTCCGTTGCTGTAGGTGTTCTCAGCATTTGAGGAAAAGTGTTTGCAGTTTGAAGGTAGAAATACATAATTGGCTTCAGTGAGTTATGTGTGTGACCTAATTAAAACTAGAATCACCTGTGTGTGTTTCCCCAGAAAATAAATTCCTTTTAAGTGTGCTGACAATTAGGTTCCTTAAGTAGCTTTAATGCTGTGAGGCATAATTCCACATTATAAGATGGTAATTCATGTCATTTATAATTAATAGCCAACTTGAAATTGCCTTGAGAATTTTATTTCTTTATCATGAGGCAAACAAATAGGCATGCTTACTTTAATATGTTTTGAGTAGAAAAAAAATATGAATGTACTTGACTTAAAATCCAATTACATTTATAATATATCACATTAAATCTTTTCCCATTATCCATTACTATGTAGATGGCACTAAAATTCCTGAAAAGAATGTGATTTGACCCCAAACTGGACAGACCATATGTTTTCTAATTGGTAATTCCCTAGTGTCCTTTGAGAAGAGGCTCCTTGGAGTATCTGCCCTATCAGATGTCCCAGTGATTTCTCCTTATGGCCACATTTAATACCTCTTCCTCTACCTTGTCTCCCAAACTCACCTGTCCGTGTTCCTTTTAAGTAGGAGAAAATGAGGAAGCTTATGGCCTTGGCGTTGTAACATTTCCCCTTAGAAGTCTTCAATCTGACAAGAAGGAAACTTGTAGGTCAAAAAGACCTAAAAATGGACTGAAACTTGGAGGTGAAGAGCATATTTATAACAACTGAAATCCTGACCACCGGCTGCTCTCAATTTAGCTGATGAAAAATGCATGACCTACTTAGACAATTTCCCAAGTTATTGTTATTTAGAAGGTCTAGATACTCTGATTTGCTGTTGCCTACCCATTTACTGCCCCATCCCCTAAGTGGATGTGGGTCAGATCGTACATATTTGTGAGTTGTCCGGTGTGATACACATTGTTAAAGACACTCTTCTTTTTTTCCCCACGTAACATGTACTGTTAGCACAGTAGCGCCAGTGTAACATTTGATCTTCATTGCACTTGTGAAGTCTCAACTGTTTAATCAGTTTAAATACTCAGCCTTCCACTTCAGTCAAGAAGCATTTTAAAGCAGCGCTTCAACCGAACACTTCATTAATGTAATTAAGTTAAGAAAAACAAGTTCCATCAGTTTTTGCTTAAAGGATGTCCCAGCGCATCCTTTTCATTTCCTATCTTGTATCTTGTCTATCTGAATATATTATAGAGCTAGAATGTGATTGCCTATTCAGAATGAGAAAAAAACTTTTCTGATTTCTAAAGCATTTTCCATTTCTGAGAAGAATATTATATTAGGTTATTATATAACCAAAGCGAGGGAGCAAACACTGAAGGACGTTTCTAAAGGAGGACACACATTCAGCAGAGTAGACTAAAGAAATATTTCCTACTTCAGCTAGAAGAAAATTCCATTTTGTTCTGAAAAGAAAAAATAGGGGAGCGGATGGTATTTTATTGTCTTTAATTGTTAAAAGATATCATTGTATTTTTCTGAAGCAGTTATTTCAAACACGCCGTCTCTTCATATTGTTGTAGTATATTCCCAATGAGTCGTATCAGTGTTCAGACCTAGGGACAGCCTTGAGTCATTTATTACACAGTAGAAATTGTGTAGAGATTGCTAGTGGTTCTAGCATATTGAGCTTCACACATCCCATCTTCAGATGTCACTCTGAGCTGTCAGTCATGCAGGGCTATTGTCTACATTCTTCTTGGCAGTTGCTTCCACTCCGACAGGCTGTTTTAGCCACATTTGTAAAATTTTTACAAAGATGCATTGGGGGAAGGAAAATAAAAAGTAATAACCTGTGAACTGTTTAATTTTTCTGACCTTATGCAAACTTGGGTGACATGCTTACTGGTAGAAGATAGGGGAGCTGGAGTAGGGAGAATAATAAATAAAGGAAGCTGGTAAAGTATAGCGGCTAAGCACCAGCTTTGGGTCACATTGCTTGGGTTTAAATCCTAGAACCACTGCTTTTACTTCTGTGACCCTAGGTAAGTGACCTAGTCTCTCTAAGTGTCAGCTTCCTCATCTGAAATAGGGATCATGGAATGAGAAATAGCAGGTAAAACACTTAAACAGTTTCGGATACAAGGTAAGGATCGATACATGTTAGCAGTTGTATGAGTTAATACAAGTTTTCAATACTTAGAGTGTTTGGGTATTTTGCTCCCTGTACCTATTTCCATAGATACTTCAAGAATTGTCTGTAATGATGCATGTCTTCTCTTTCTGTTTCAGAGTTAGCTTAAGTGATGGCAGCGATAGTGAAAGCAGTTCTGCTTCTTCACCCCTACATCACGAACCCCCCCCACCCTTATTAAAAACCAACAACAACCAGGTAAATTCCCAGGTTTGCAGTGTTGTACACTGCAGAATTAGATGTGATTGTTTTTACAAAGCACAGGAAAACTTTTTATCCTTTAATTTTAAACAAAGTCTCTCTCGATATCAAAAAATGGGAAACTACAACCTTAGGAATAAACACATAGTTAGGGTTATATAAACTTCTGTTGGCATGAAAAATATGTTCCATTGGATAGTTTAATTAAATACATGAAAGAAGAGATGGTGACAAAAAGTGTGGTCCATTTACTGTTGATTGTTATGTATTTTTCCCCTCAGCAGTAAGTAGACAACTTAATAAATTAGCAAGATATGACCTTTGGGGCCAGTATAAAGCCTGGTTCTTTGCTTTACTAATTCGCAGTAATTCGCTCGTGCGAATTAACTTTAACTCTGATCCTCAATTTCCTCATCTGTACCTGGGAATGTTAATACCTAACTTGCTGGTTATTGGGAGGATGGCAACTAACACATGTAAAGAGCATGAGGCAGTGCCCACACCTACTTGGCACTCAGTTGATGGTCAGTGTTTGTTATTATAGGTACTCCGCCTCTGTTTGCTCATCCAGGAAAAGAAGATCATCACTTGGGATTGTAAGGAATAGTTAAAAGGCAGAGTAAATAATGGTCATTGTCATTGTTATAAATCAAGCTTGTTAATTTGATAGTCAATTCAGAATATAGTTATTTAAATAAGGTCTAGGCAGAACTTTGAAAGCTATGATAAAGAGCTTTTGTTTAACAAATGATTAAGATTGAGATATTTCAAATTCTTACTAAATTAAGCTATTTTGAAATATGAATATTGTAAAAGCCTTGCTATACATTGAGTTGATACTCTCATTACTGTAGGTTATTCTTATCTCTCTGTTTAGACAGATTCACTGTGACCTCTCCAATAATTACTTCTAGTTACCACATGAATATTACTAACTTTAAAGTAAATGAACTTTTTTTTTCTAAAATTATTTTGTTTCTTGGGTGTCCTACAATTGTAAATGGCCTTGCCCTTGAATTTGTGATCTTTATCTTACTGGGAATGTGTGGTTTTCTAGCTGAAGACTTTTTCCTTTTAAATTTTGTATGAAGCATAATAAAGATCTCTTAAAATTCAAAATTCCTTATAATGTTTATTGGCCATCATTGATAAGTGGGAATAATACCAGTGTTCTTTACTTTACCAGTTACAGTTCAGCTGGTTTCTTTGTGTCCTACATATGAATTCAAGCCCAGCCTCCTCATCTGTTATAGACTGGCTATTCAAGGAGTTAGTGTATTCTTATTCTTTATCCTAACTTCCTGTAGTTCCTGCATTTCCCCGTCTCCAGTGTCAGCCATGCCCAGGGCCCAGCCAGCTTTCACCTCTGGCGTGGCTGCCCACCACCACAAATGACGCATTTCAGGGGAAAGTGAAGACTGAGAGTATAGCCATCATTGCCAGCCAGTTGAGAAGGGCCCTGGGCTGGCTAACTGGATAGCTTGGGATTCTTTTGTAAATTTTACTTCAGTAGAAGCTGGCAAGAGTTGAATTTAGACCTTTAATATACTTTTATATCCAATTTAAACACACGTACTTAGCTTCCAGTAGTGAGACATTAGAAATAGGTGGTGGCAGTGCCAGGAGTGAAGGACATCAGATCCTTTCTTTCATCCCACTCATAAAGAAAGCTCCTTCAGCATCTTTCCTGGTCAGGGTTAAGACTGCGGTTGCTAAATAAATGCAGCTCCAACAAGCCCCTATCTCGCCCTTCAAACCTAGTAGCTGCCCCTAACCCTTCCCTATGGGCAGTCTCAAAGCTGGGCCTTGCTTCAGGGAGAGGTCTCTATTCTTTGTCAGACTTTTTTTTTTTAACCTGTCTAGCAAAACAAGAACAAAAATGAATAGAATCATTTATCTGGAGAGGATAAAAATTACTTTATTCAATTAAATAGCATACCAATGGTTCCTTGGCATATGTTTATTCAACAAATGTAGCTTCACACATGTGAATCATCAATCTGTCAGAAATACTCAGTTATATATCACTTTCTCCATGCACCTATAAGCATAATAAGAAAGTCCATATGCTTTCACTTTTAGCTAGCTGAGGGTCAGAAATACATGTACCATAAGAGTGCTTCTCTCCTTGGAGCTACATCTTGGAACTGAAAGCAAGAAAAGGTTTTTAAACTGTTTATTATTGATTTCTTACCGCCTCGAATCACCTGCATTGGGTGGGGTGTGATGCTGTCCCTTGAAATCAGTGTTTTAGGACTTCTTAAAAGCATACTAGTCTTCCTTAGTTCTTCATGCCAATGAAGTGAAATAGTAAAATATTCTTAAAAATCTAAAAATCACATAAATTTCATCCTGGAATGTGTTTTTAGTCTTATATCTGTGTGTGTGTATGTGTGTGTGTGTGTGTGTGTGTGTGTGTGTGTGTGTGTGTGTGTGATTATCTGAAATTTCACATCAAATAGATGAAAACATACGGAGACAGCCCGACTGTGAAATGGGAAGACTCAGAGTTTCCTTCTTTCGTACCCCTTGGCCGTTCTCTGTAAGTCGATAATGATATCTCAAGCTTCTGTAAATTACCAGGCAAAGCTGAGTTTTCCTTACCTTTTCTCAAATCTTCCAGGGACTAGGGAAGAGGGAACGTGCTAATTGAGTCAAACATTTTCTAACTATAGAAAAGAAGTGAACAGAGAGAGCCACATGTCAACAAAGCAAGTAATTAACCTGAACATTGTTAGGGGCAACTAGTGATCATTAACATAAAAGACGTATCAGTAGAGACTCCATCTGCTCAATAATCGAGTTGTCTGTCAGTCCTCACAAAGGGATGCAGAAAAATAATCATCTTGAAATTTTGATTCTCAAGCTGTATCCTCGGATTAAGAATAGCAGTACAACTAATCACAGTTCTATTTTCGGAGACTACCACATGTAGAAATGGTGCATCTCAGCAGTCTGGGTGGCTGTTTCCCTCAGTACAACTTAATAAGGAATAATAGTGAGTGAGTGTTGTGTCATTTTAAACAGAGGTGTTTTTTTTTTTTTTTACTCTAACCCTCCCTTATGTGAATTTCAAACAAAATCAAAATCAAAATTCCAGATCCTTCTCGGCTGAAAGTGTAGACGGAGGGAGGAGAGAGGGGCCCTGAAGGAAGGAAGTGATCCATTGGACTCAAGTTAATATTCAGAATATCATAAATCACCTATCAGCTTGCAAGGCATGTTGAATGAAATTAGAATCTATCCAGTTAAACTGGTTTGAAATAAGCCTGTGAAAGACAAGGTGCTGTACTTTTATATTCCAGAGTAGTTTCCTCAAAGATAAGAAATGATCATAAATAAAACAATTGTCTTCAGCATGGCTCAGCTCTCTCAGAATGAGGTTTTGACAAAGCTGTTTATTTTGGAGCAGGGAGAGATCAAAGGAAGAAGATTAACTGAGCCCTCTCTGGGCAGCCACTCAGTAACTTGAGGCGGATCACTGACACCCAGAGCTTTTGTTCCTGCCACTGCAGCTTCAGAAGAAAGAAACTAGGATTTCAATGCAGTTTGGCCTGTGCTGTAGCACTTAGGGAATGTGTAGGCTGGGACTTAAGTGCTCCACAGTGTTCTGTTTTCTGCTTTGGAGAGAAGGTAGTAGAACTCTCTAAAACTAGTTAGCAAAGTTCCATTGCAAATTGAGAGTTCTCAGTTATTTTGACCCCCAGAATGCGGCGAGTTGGGGTTTAGGGGGATAGGGTGGGATATGGGAACAAAATTCAGTTTTCTAATGCACAAGGCAAGTAGGCAGGCACTGTTTCTTTCTCTTGGCTGAAATCTCAGCAGACCGGCTCTGCTTTGCCTGGCCCCACATCTGAGTTGGCGAGGAGTGCCATCTACTGACCTACTTACTCCTAGGTCTCTGAGCGCAGTTTTCCCTTGAGGTCTCTTTCCAACAACAATAGTAGAGAAGGAAATTCTGAATGTAGTGGAGTGTTTGGTTCTTTTACAGTGAAGCCTTTTAAATAAAAACAATTTGCCTTCTGTTATTAAGTAATTCCCTTGTGTTGCTGAAAGTATTGTATTTTAAGTGAGCCTGGTCAAATTGGTCATCTGGTTATCTTAATCTTAAAAATGAAGAAATAAAGGCAATTCTTGAGAAAGACTGTTAGAAAGAAACTCACTCATAACCCATGGATTATTCTAAATTCAAAAGAAAATACTTATATAAATATTTAGTCTTTTCTAGAGTGTCATGGCTCTATCCTCAAAAAGTAAAATGTTTAGTAGTGTAAAATTTGACAGCCAAATGGGAATCCATACATTATCTTATTCATCTTTCTAATTTCATCTCACTTTTGAGGCCCCCAACATGTAAAATAATAGGGCTAGGACCTGAACTTAGATTTCTGAGCCCAATCAGTGCTTTTTCTACTACAAATTAAAAGCGAACTCATTTTTAAAAATTTTTTTTGTGTTATGGGATATGGTAGACCTTTGAAAAGAACTGTAGTGTGTGTGTGTGTGTGTGTGTGTGTGTTGAGAGAGAGAGAGAGAGAGAGAGAGAGAGAGAGAAACATAACATACGTGTGTTAGGGCAGAAAATGGATAAAGAGAAGAGCAGTAGGAATATGAGACTTTTTAAATATATGCTTTATTAGGCATTTTCCTTCTTAATGTTAGTTTCAGATTATAACAACTCACTTGATAATAAGGTTATAATAAAAAAGACAAATTATTTTGCTTTTTATGTTTATATACTATAAATACTGAACAATAAATTCAGTCGTTCTCAGCCATTTTAAGCAAGGGCCATTTAAAAATATTTCCTTCATAATCTCCATTTTGAAGATTCTAATAAATCAACTATTTATTAAATAATAATTTGGTTTTCTTTTTTATTACTTAGAAACCTAGCTCCCCAGAGAAGCTTCTGAACAGTATACAGAACTACTATTCATAAACTAAGCTATAATTGGTTGAGATAAGAGAAGAGGTACCTGCTATCTTATCATGGGTAAACCCATCCCTTCTTGAAACACAGAAGAGAGTCCTGACTCTTTATTTCTTGATTTGGAGGATCCCAGGTTGGGAACAACTAGTGTCACTGATGGCTGTCATTATTTCTAAAGCTTCATCAAGTTAGTGGATATGAGTAATTTTTAGAATCTGAAAGTCAGTTACTAAAAAGGGTATTTGAGTGTTTGTTCTGTCATCTCTAGTGTACTATGTACTGGTAATCATGCTGAAACAGCAGAATGAATAAGAAAAAAAATTCTTGCCAGAGGGAACTATAATCCAGTATAACTCAGCTGCTGTACATATGTGTGAGAGTGTTGTCACAAAGGAGAAGCATCCTTGGAAGCTTAGATCAATTTCTTTATTGTCCACATTTTTTTTTAAGTTCTATCACCCTGACTCAGCATTTTTGATGTAATTTATTGTCCAAGAAAAAGTAAGATTAGAAGAAAAGATGTTATATAAAGGTAAAAGGCTAGGTGGAAAATGATGTTATTTTATGACATTTCATCCATAAGTGCCTTTGTTTAGGTGGCTGATTAGGTAAGAAGTACTTGAAATCAAATTTAACAGTGTTCTCTTCGATCCCTAGATTCTCGAAGTGAAAAGTCCAATAAAGCAAAGCAAATCAGATAAGCAAATAAAGAATGGTGAATGTGACAAGGTAGGTTTCCAGTCCACTACTACGAGTGCTACGACACTGGCATGTCTGTTTCTTTGTGTCTCCCTTCCTCATTAGAAGTGCCTGAGAGCAATTTATATTCCCAGTCTTGCTTATATCTCCAGAACTAAGTTTGGCCTTGTGGTAGCATTTGCCCTGATGCCTAGATTGCCCAGGAATTTCAGGCATATTGAATTGGGAGGTAAGAGATCTGTGGTAGAGTAAGAAGATGAAGGGATCAGACGTAAGTGGGGAGGACATCTGATCCTAGTCAGAGTGCTTTCCCCAAGTGCGCATCTTGCATCTGAAGTCGGACTGCAAGACCTACTGGGGATTAGTCTCCTGGTGTGGGCAGGGTCCTAACATGTTTTTCAGGGTCGGGACAGGTCTGGCTAATGCTTCACAAACCTTTCCTTTGCCTTCATTGCAAATGACACTAGGAACACCCATTCAGCTATACTGACAAAGAGTCGTAGGTCTGAGCATGTGGAAGGAGAGGTTGCCTCTGTTCTTTCAAGGGAGCTCTTGACAAACCACATGCTAATTTGGATAGTGATCTCTATTTTTCATAAGACACTTTACTTTCATTTGCTGTTCACTAGCGATGTTAGATATGACAACCAGGAAGGCTTTTTTTTTTTTTTTTTAAAGAATTAATCCCGATATAACTGGTAACGTGCACTGATACTTCGTGTTCAAACTTAGACTCTTAGTTAAAAAGTTTCTAAGATAGAAGAATAAAAAGAAGAAAGTAGACTTTGATACCATGCTTAAACTCACAATTTACCATTGAGTTCCCCTTCTCTCTGTAGAGGCATTGTTAGGAGGAGTGCATCTGCTTACTTAAATCTTTTTGAGAGCAAATAAATGCAAGAATTGTCCCCTTTTTAAAAAACTGGCTTGATCAAGGTAATAGTTGGCCAAGAGAGACTTGTTCTGCAAAGGCCTTGGGCATCGAGTCCACACAACCTGGGGTGTGAGTAGAATGGGGAACCTCTAGCCACTGCTTATATGTTCTTATTTATTTATTCTCTTCTTTTTGAATTGCTTCCTAACATGCTTGTTCTTCGGGGGACACTTTTCCTTTCAGGCATACCTAGATGAACTGGTAGAGCTTCACAGAAGGTTAATGACGTTGCGGGAAAGACACATTCTGCAGCAGGTAAGAAATGCTTTTTAGCACAACCCTTTCCAGAAGCATCAAGGCTTAGTCTGTCCTGGGGTAGTGCCATAGCACCTGGAGTCTGCACCAGCCCCACACTGCCAGAACTGGGTTGATGCCACCTGAAGAAGTACAGTTGACTCTTGAACAACACAAGTTTGATTTGTGCCAATTCACTCGTATGTGGATTTTTTTTTTTTTTTTAATATACAATTGGCTCTTTGTATCACCCAACCACGGATCAAAATGCTGTTTTTGATCCGTGGTTGGGAATCCATGGGTGCGGAAGGCTGACTGTATGTGTTGTTCTACATCATTTTATATGAGGGACTTGAGCATCCGTGGATTTTGATATCTGCAAGGGATCTTGGAACCAAATTCCTGTGGATACTGGAAGTTTTGGGGGAGTCAAAATGTGCACGTGGATATTCAGCTGTGCAAGAGGGTTAATACCCCTAACCCCTGTGTTCAGGTGTCAACTATATTTAGGGAGGGTGCTCACTTCCAAGGCCACCTGCAAGTCTGTGCTGGAGCTTTGTGCTGATTGTCTCCCTTCTCTGGTGCTGTTGGCAGTTAAGACTGGGACTTGAGGAGGTGATGGTAATGGAATGTGCTGATCCCTCAGCCAGCTGATGCTGTGATGTGGGCAGAGGGAGGGGATAGTTGGAATGTAGAAACCTTTGGGGCCAGGCTTCTGATTTCATGGGAAAACAGTGATAAGAATTTCAGTCAAGTGTTGTAAACATTTGTGATTCAATTTAGTAACCTTTTGCCAATGCTATTCTAAGGAAAATAAATATTTCCCTCATTTCCCTTATCTTGTACAACATACATTCTATTATTATGAACTCAACTGTGGAATACTTGTAGAGTGGAGAAACTTCTATTAGTACAATTTGATGTTTTGAGAAGATAAGAAGGGTGGTTTTTAGTTTTCATACAGTTACGTGCGTCCATTGCATTAACAGTGGCTATTGGTTAAATATTTTTTCTTTAACACCCAAAGAGAAGGTTGTGTTCTAAATTCCAGAGTGAGTGTGTAGATTAATTTACTGTTTAAATTTTTTTTTTTTACTACTTTCAAATGACTTGAAGTTAGTACTTAATCTACCCCAGCTGTGTGTGTTACTTTTTAAAAAACATTTAATGGCTGATGGTAACATTTATAATCTGTGTACATTTTTGCTTAAATCTATAAATACACACTCTCAAACTTGCAAGTTTCCTGATTGGTCTGATAAGCTTTTTAACCCTTCTAGAGTTTCAGATTTGAACAAAAGGCTAAAGATCTGTGATTCTTAATTGGGGATAAGTTGCATTTCTTTCATTTCCATTTAAGTGGGTATGGGCAGGAGAGCAGGCTTTGAGTGACTTACCCTGAGACTTTGCTACTATATATTTTTTTTTTCCCAGCTTTCTTCTGTAGAACTGAAAATCGTTCAGCCTGTCATTTACTAGTTATTTGGGGCTAATTGACTGAATGGTTATGATAGCTCTATTAGCCGATTTCCCCATCCCTTTCCAAAGGCCAGCTCTGAACCACTGTGGAGTAGTTGTCCAGTAAAACTATTAATGCACAAGCCGGGCCCAAATAGTGAGTCTCGCAAGTGAGTGAGACAGATGTTCGGACAGGGTTAGGACACTCTCACAAAGGAAGCCCAGCTGACGAGTTGAGGCTACTAGGCACAGTTTTACCTTGGGGGGTCATCAGCATTCCCAATTTCACATTGTCCTTTATTTTGACCTTTGAAAGAATTCTGAGAGAAGATGACTTACTGGAGAATTCCCTCGAAGTGGATCATTTTTGTGTTCTAAAGGGTGAGAGTGATCTCTATGAATTTTTAACCTGGCATAAAGGCACTCGAGGGCGCACAGCGTTTCACCCTAATTGCATTCCCAGGCTGCTTGAAAGCTCTCCATCTTTGGCCTTTTGCCTTGTAATGCAGCTGAGGCTTGTGATTATGATACCATGATGCATGTCCTGTCACAGTTTACTGCTTAATTAATTCCTATTATAAAACCTAGCACTGTGGAGGACTAATGTTACTCTTCACCTTGAGAGCGCCTCACCTTACGGAATGCATTCCGCATGTCTGCTGCATATTCTCCACCATGCAGACCTGACACCCGAGACAGAATTTCTGGGGAGCCTAGGATCACATCCTAGGTCTTTTTCTATTAAATGCATCCAGCCCGCTCTGACACTTTTATTTGGCTCAAAAAAAAAAGTGGTTAATATCTTTGTCTTATGCTGGGGGCATGGAGTACCGGTGCCCAGCATCTAGTTTAATGAATGGAAAGCATTGCTTCAAGAGAGCCTGTGTTTTAAGCCACTTTTCCATAAGATAAAAATATAGGACAGTGGAAACAGTCAAACCAAGAGATAGCAGTTACAGGACTGACTAACAATTTGATTCTTCTTTAAATTGCATGTTCCAGAGTATTCACAAAGGGACATTGAGCACTTCAAAACTCCTTAGCAATTTAGCTCTGATTCTGGATTTGCATCCTACTTAGAAGGGAAAAAACTCTGAGGAAAACCTGGGCTTCCTTAGACAGTTTAGCAATTTAGATAACAGCTATTATACTTTTAGAATTATATTCAGGAAGATAGGTAATAAGTAGAGTATCTAAGTATTCCTTCTAACAATACGGAGATCTCTCCCTGAGAAATGTTCTGCTGAAAATGACTGTCTCCGTCCTGGGAAATTGCCTGTCATATTTTCGAGTCCCTTGAAGGTTAGAAGCTGATAGCTTGTCTCTTAACCCAAGGTAGGGTACATGTTGTCACACGCCAGACAGTGTACCTCAGTCCACAGCCATAGCCATTCTACCGGAAGACCTAACTTACCCCAGACGTGACTCCACTCTAGGCAGATGCTGCTACAGCAAAGATTGTTCATTACTCTCCACTCAGTCAAAAGGCTGCTTCAGGTTGAAAGAAACCTGGTTTGGGAAAAATATAATCGGACTAAAAATAATGTATTTACCTTTTTATA